GGCTCAAATCCCCGACGTTTCCGGGGCCACCCCACATACGGTAAGCACGGAGAGGTCCAGGGAGGACCCCAGAGCGCGGAGCGGCACGGTGCTCCTTCCTCTCGCCCTGGACACCTAGCACACTGCCAAGAATCGCGGGTGCCCAGTAAACATTCGTGGAGCGAGATGGAGCAGAGGGCAGGCGGACACCGCGTATAGACGTACACACTTAACTGCGCTGGGGCAGCTGTGGTGAGCGCCCAGCGGAGTCGGGGGAGGGGCGGGGGCCGCTCCGTCCAGCCGGGCGCCAGCTCCTCCCGGGCAGGCGGGCACCCACCGACAGCGGGCACACAAAGCCTGCTCGGCGTGCTCGGCGATCGGCTCCTTAGGCCTGTGCTGCCACGCGCCGCCAGGCGGCTCCAGGTTGGGCGCTGGGCCGTGGCAAGCCCTGGGCGTCAAGAAGCTGCACGCATCAAACCGCCGCGGGAGGGAGCGCGAGGCGCGGGCAGGGGGGGGAGAGGAGGAGGAGTGGGCCGGGGAGGAGGGAGGAGAAGGAGGAGTGGGGACCGGGCGGGGGGTGGAGGAAGAGGCCTCGCGCAGAGGAGGGAGCAATTGAATTTCAAACACAAACAACTGCACGAGCGCGCACCCACCGCGCCGGAGCTTTGCCCCGATCCGCGCCCGCCCCGTCCGTGCGGCGCGCGGGCGGAGACGCCGTGGCCGCGCCGGAGCTCGGGCCGGGGGCCACCATCGAGGCGGGGGCCGCGCGAGGGCCGAAGCGGAGCGGCGCAGCCACCGCCGCACGCGCAAACTTGGGCTCGCGCTTCCCGGCCCGGCGCGGAGCCCGGGGCGCCCGGAGCCCCGCCATGTCGCGATCCAACCGGCAGAAGGAGTACAAATGCGGGGACCTGGTGTTCGCCAAGATGAAGGGTTACCCACACTGGCCGGCCCGGGTGAGCAGCGCGGCCCGCAGCCCCCTAACCCCCGCGGGCTTGGGTTGCATAACACTGGGAAGGGCACGAGCGCTCCGCGCGGAGCGGGCAGAGGTGGGGGCAGGGGGCTCGTGGGTCTCTGACTCTTTCCCAGTCGCTTCCAAGCCCACCCGCTGGTTATATAATGGTGGAGGCGGACGGGGGTGGGGGTAGACACCTGGCGGGCACGGCGTCCGCGCGTAGAGGCGTGTGCGCGGCATGGGGATCCGAGGGCGCGGGTCACTTCCCGGCCTCAGGCTCCGCGTGCTCAGTTCCGCCCCCAGCCCCCATACTCCCAGAGGTTTCGAGCGCGAAGTCTGGCTTTGGGCCAGTCGTGTTATTCCTTCCCCCGACCCCAGGCGCTGCCGCCACCCCCTTAAAACCCCCTTAGAGATCCCCAGTTTCTTCGTTGATCGTCGTTCCTAGTTCAAACTCTTATGTTCCTGGATAAATTGTTTAGAAGTATCCCAACCCGGAGAGGGCTAGATGGAGGCGAGGCGGAGTTCGCTTCTAGGAAACTTTGGTTTGGGGCATCTTTAAGAGGTCTAAAGTTGGGAAGGTCGAAGGATCGTTGCCGGCGGCGTAAGAGGGGATCTACCTGGCTTAGAATTATCCGTCAGAACCCATCAGCCCTCAGCTCCACAGAAACATTCTTCCATATGCTGCCAACTCAAATTTGGGATTGAGGTGGCAGGCTCCCTTGTGGTATTAGGAAGTCCAGTCCAGACTGCCTTTTAGTAGGGACTGGGGGAGCCCCAGTTCCTTCCCCCGCTCAGATGTGAAGATCTTTCGCCAGAACGGTCCCAGTCTCTGCCATGTGGTTGATTCAGCCTGCCAGTATAAGCTACCCCACAACCCCAGCACCTGGCCAGGTGGGAGGGTGGGGCCCCACAGCCAAGCCTGGTGTGCTCATCATGTTTTCCCTAAGGACTGAGACAGGTTAAGTAAGGAGGATGGGAGGTTGCCAGTTGCTGGAGGAAAGCGGGGTGGGCAATGCATTTGGCAACTTAAAGTTGGTGTAGAGGGGCCTTTGGTTTTGGGTGAGGGCATGACTCAGTCCCTAGAGTGTAGGACTCCTGTAGAGTGAAATCCAAGGGCAGAAAGACTACCGTATGGATTTCGGGTGCTCTTCTCAGGGTGTCTGTCTCTCTGGCCCAGGCACTGCTCTGAGATTAGGAAACTGTCCCAGGCACATTCAGGGTATCAGGCCAACTTTGGGGCCACTCTGAGAAAACTCAGAGACCCTTCCTCGCTCTGTACCCACTCCTCAGGAGGGTGCTTGATCCCATGTGTCTTGAGCTCCCGGTTCCCCGAAACTTTCAGATGGAGCAAATGAGGACCGGCCTTTGTTAATGGGAGTGAAATACAGAGAGAAGCAGGACTCTCCCAGCTTCCAAGGTCTGCTGAGGGGCTGGGGAAGGGGGCCAGTATGAGGAAGCAGCCACAGAGAGCCTTCTGTGTGCACGTATGTGTGTGGCCTGCGAACACTCGTGTACTTTACCCTGCACCCTTTGACCCAACTGGCTTCTTGGCCCAGATGCCAAGGTCCTGGTGGGCAGGGCAAGGACTGAACCCTTGTCTCTACTGTTCCTACCTCTTGAGGGTGGGACAAAGTCCAGAGGCTGGAATAAGCCCTGGGGAGGGGTATTAGCTGGAATATGTGTTGCAGGGAACCCCTTCTGCATCCCATAAGATAGAAATGGGGTAGGGACACAGAAGGACCCACACTGGCCCCTGTGAGAAAGACCTCAAGTGTCTGGTGGCCTTTAGAGTAAGGGCAGTGCCTGGGACTAGGGATGCCATCCATTTCCTCTCCACTTTGGGCCTCCAGGACAGAAGGGAAGGACACAGGAGGCAGCGTTTCTTCCTCTGTTGAGGCCTGGACCTTTCAGATAAAGTTAGAACTGGGGTAGGGAGATCAGACTGGATCTCAAAGAGATAGGGCCTCACACTTTGCCTGCCTCTGGCTTCTGATGGTGATACTTGTGGGGATGGCTACACCCAAGGCTGTTACCTCCCAGACATAGTCCCCTTGTACTCCAAAAGAACAGACACATCTGAGTCTCCTCACCATTCCTTGGACCCTTTCTTAGTCCCTAGAGTGGCAGAGCCTGAGGGGCCTTACTTAAGATGGATGAGAAATAAGAGGGAACCTCATTGACTCCCCCATCTTGTAGGCCAGATCTTCAGCCATAAAGATCCTATGTGGATCTTTCCTTCCTCAGTCCCTGCTGCTGGGGAGGATGGGTGATTCTGGGTGAGACTAGAAGGGCCCAGTGCTTAAGAGCCCAGCCAGAGGGACCACGTGATAGGCAGGACCTGCCTGGAAGGATGATGTGACTCCATCTTAACCTTCTCCTTTCCCTCTTCCTCCTGCCTAACTTCCTGGGGGATCTCCAAGTACTTAACGATTAACCTCCAAGACTTCAGGGACTTCTCCCCCATCCCTTCCTCCATTTGCTGCTTCCTGTTTCACAATCCCAGAAAACCTGGGCAGCCAGGACCCCACCCGTCTTTCCTCCCGGTGCCCCTTCCCCCTGCACCTTCTCTTTTCTGCCTCTTGGGCTTGCCACACTTTCCTGGCCCCAACCGTCTCCTGCCCCAGATTTTCCGGTTCCTGGGTCAGGTTGGGCCTCAGCCCTGGGTGTGGTGGTCAGAACCCTGGCTGGCAGCCACTGTGTGCTGCCGCCTTCCTAAATGCTGGGTCTAAAGTCAGACTAAAGTCTGAGGCTGGGGGAGAGCTATGCAGTTCTCTTTCCCCAGTCAACCTGAAAACTAAAGATGCCTCTTTGGACCTCAGAGGGTGTCTGTGGCTTGGGAGGCTGAGATTTCATGGGCTCAGGCCTGTCTGATGGAATCAGACAAATGCAAGGCCTGAGAAGTAACTTGCCTGAATCTGGAATGGCTAAGAGGTAGCAGAGTCCCCCTACTGCTGGTTAGTGGAGGGGGTACAGTGGGGTCCCCTGCACTATTTGGCTCCACCCTGACCCCGTTAGCCTTGACTCACTTGTTCTGAGTCACAGCCTGGGTATAAAGGCACTGCCTGGAAGACAGATGTCTGTATTGGGATACAGGGTTCCCCTGAGACCTCATATCCTCTATGTCTAGGAAGATCCGCCCTCCACTTCCAAATGTAAGAAAGGACATTTCCTTTGTAGCTTGAGGGCTGGAGGTGCCACTGTAGAAGAGATTTCTCCCCCCTTTTTTTTAGATGGAGTTTCGCTCTTGTTACCCAGGCTGGAGCGAAATGGCGCGATCTCGGCTCACCGCAACCTCCACCTCCTGGGTTCAGGCAATTCTCCTGCCTTAGCCTCCTGAGTAGCTGGAATTACAGGCACGCGCCACCACGCCCAGCTGATTTTTTGTATTTTTAGTAGAGATGGGGGTTTCACCATGTTGACCAGGATGGTCTCGATCTCTTGACCTCGTGATCCACCCACCTCGGCCTCCCAAAGTGCTGGGATTACAGGCGTGAGCCACCGCGCCTGGCGGGATTTCTCCCCTTTTGGGTGAAGGGTTAGGAATTCCATTAAGTGAAAAGAGTATACTTCCCCCGGCCCTTCCCCTACAGGTGCAGACACTCTAGGTGAGAGAGCCAGGTGGTATGACGCTTTGTGGGGAGGTGCCTATCTGCTTAGGCCCCTGTCTTCCTCTCTCTTCCCTCTAGATCCATCCTTTCTGTAGCTAGAAGTCAGCAGGGCTGGCATATCTGGTGTGCCTCATGCTATTTTTAATCCCATTCGTTCTTTTGTTTCTCCCCCACCCCTGGGGCTGGGCAGCTGGTGGCCTCCTGGGTCCCCTGCCACACCATTCAGCAATCTGTCTCTGAGTTTGCTTTCCTTGGGAAGCTTGGACGGCATGAGACCATGACCAGGTAGCTGTTTTGCAGTCTGTGCTTCTGCAAAGAACCTCAGTTCTCCTTATTTCTGACCCTTCACCCAATCCTCCCCTCTTTTACTGAGCCGCAGTTTCTCCTCTTCCGTCACACATTTACTGTGGGCAGCTTAAAGACCTGGCTCAGGTGTGGGTCCTGAAAATGCAGAGCTCTAAGTCCCCTGCTGCACTCCCAGCCTTAGACCCTCAATCCCCACCCCCACCCCTGGTTCTGGGTGTACACAGATCCGTAGGAGAAAGGTCTAGGGAAGGCGTTTGCTGTTATCGTCCTGTGCCTGTCTCCTGGGATCTCCAAGCCCTGGGGGCACTCGTTTTGTTTTCTGCTTCCCCCTCTTAAGAGGAGGGTGGCTAGCTGGTAACAGGATCCAGGTATCCTGGCTGAGGACTGGCCCCTCCACCCCTGCCCCAGGTCCGGCTTCCTGAAAAGGACGCCCCCCCTCCTCCCCGCACCCCCTGTAGTGGTAATCCAGCCCTAGCTGTGGTTTCCAGCACGGCCGGGGACCCAGGTGCCAGACTGCAGGCTTGGGGGTGGGGTGTGTGTTAGTGTCCCCTCCTCCCCAATCCGGAGAGAGGGCCTGGGGGGGAGGGGCGGTCACATTCCTGGTTGCTGAGTGGCCCTGGGGGCGGGGTTGGGTTGTCATGGCGATGGGGATCATGTTTGTGGGGGGAACTGCGTGCCTTTCCACCCCCTGCTCTCACATCCGACGTCTCCTGGTGGTGGGAAGGGCCCAGTTTGTGCTGGGCCTTCCTGGGGGGAAGGGCTGGACCTCTGTCCCCAGAGGCCACGGGGCAAACGGGGAGGTGCCCAAAAGCCTGAAGATTCCAAGTCTGGAGCAAGATGCCCCTCAGATTCATGCCCAGGGCCCCACCCCCTCTCCTAGGTGTGTCTCAGCGCGTTCCCATCCACCCAGCCTCTCTGTCTCCCCAGGCCCCCAGTTGGGCCCTCTGTCCCTGTCTCTGTGATAATCACCGCCTTGGCCTTTCTGTCTCCTGTCTGCGCCTGGGGCCCCAGTCATCATGGCCACCTGGCCTCTGTCCGGCGGGAAGCCCGGCTGCTGGGGTTGCTGCAAGTGCTGCTGGGAGTTGTAGTCCCCACCCACCCCACCCCCACAGCTCAGCTTCGTCTGGGCTTCCAGGCCTGATCTGGGAAAGGCTGGCGAGGACACTGCCTCGGGATTCCCTGACCTCAGACCTCTGCACCTCTCATCTTCAGCACAGCGCTCCTCACCACGGGCACACGTGGGGCAGGGGATATAGTCAGGTGATCTGAGTCTGATACCTGGCCCTCAACAACTTGCTGTGTTATTTTGGGCAAATCACTTGCTTTCTGGGCTCAGTTTCCTCATCTGTAAAATGAGAGTTTGACTATGTGCCTTTCAGAGATCCCTAGAAGACTTTTAGGGGATGTTGGATAGGCAGCCCTTTGACCTTAGCCCTACACTTCAGCCAGAGCAGCTTGCTTTTATCTATTTTGTAAATTAATTGAGTAAATCATTGTATACCTACTGTGTGCTAAGCACTGTGCTGCAGATAAAAGCAGAGCTGGTCTCTGACCTTGGCTGGTCTAGTCCAGGATAGTGCACATAGATGTTAATCAAATAATATGGATCAGTGTAAAAGAACTGGGAAAGCACTGTAAACAGGACGTGTTAGGAAAGAGTTTTACCTAGGGAGTCAGTCAGACCAGGAGAGGTGGGCAAGCTTTCTGGAGGAGGTAATGGCAGAGCTGAGGCTGGAAGGATGATCAGGAGTGAGTAAGATTAGAGACTGCAAGAACCATGGTCAGAACAGAAAGGACAGTGTGCTGGGAGAGGCTGATGAAAGCAGACGTGTAGGATGTACCCCGTGCCAAGTTATGGTCATTTCATCCTCACAGCCCTAGAGCGTAAGTGCTATGACTGTCTCCCTTTTACAGATGAGGAAACTGAGGCAGAGAGAGGTTCACTAAGTTGCCCAAAGTCATACAAGTGGGTGCAGAGTTGGGATTCAGATCTTGCCGTTGTGGAAAAGAGGTGAACAAGTGGGCCCTAGAGTCCTGAAAAGGTATTGTAGTAGGATTTTGAAGCAAGGGGAGGAAGTGCTTGGACCAGCATTCCCAAAGGCCCACTCTGGCTGTGCTGTGGAGAATGGATTGTTGGTGGGGGCAAGAATGGAGATCGTGAGAAGAGGTGGTGGTTTTGTTTTGTTTTGTTTGAGACGGAGCCTTGTTCTGTTGTCCAGGCTGGAGTGCAGTGGTGCGATCTCGGCTCACTGCAACCTCTGCCTCCCAGGTTCAAGCGATTCTCCTGCCACAGCCTCCCAAGAGGCTAGGACTATAGGAATGGGCCACCCAGCTAATTTGTGTATTTTTAGTAGAGGCAGGGTTTCACCATGTTGGCCAGGCTGGTCTCAAACTCCTGACCTTGTGATCCGCCTGCCTCGGCCTCCCAAAGTGCTGGAATTACAGGCGTGAGCTGCCACGAGCAGCCTGAGGCAGTGGTTTTCGTCCAGGCAAGAGATGACAGTAGTTGGGCCAAGGTGATGGCAAAGTGACGGGGCTTTGTGGCCAGACATGTTGGAGGCAGAATGGATGCTGTCTGGCTGGTGAAGGAGAGGGAGGGACTTGTGGGTTTCTGTTGGGCTTTCATGTCTGACTTCATTTGAATAAAGTGTCACTGATAAAAATGGTCCAAAAGCCATCTTGCTGACCTCCTTGGTTCCTCTCAGTCTGATTTTACATCAATGTGCCTTGGAGGTCAGCAGCCCTGCCTCAGACTCAGAACCTCAGAACTGTAGCTAACGTCACTCCCTCATCTCACCCCAGATTGACGAGATGCCTGAAGCTGCCGTGAAATCAACAGCCAACAAATACCAAGTCTTTTTTTTCGGGACCCACGAGACGTGAGTGGAGGCCAAAGGGGCACAGGTTGGGAGGGCCCTGGGAGGACTGCTCTGGGGGAAGAGAGGTGGTGTTGGTACCCCTTTTGAGTCGGGCTGTACAGCTCCGGGGCAGTGAGGGGCTTGAGAGCACAGTCTCCCATCTCTCACCAGGGCATTCTTGGGCCCCAAAGACCTCTTCCCTTACGAGGAATCCAAGGAGAAGTTTGGCAAGCCCAACAAGAGGAAAGGATTCAGCGAGGGGCTGTGGGAGATCGAGAACAACCCTACCGTCAAGGCTTCTGGCTATCAGGTGAGCCACCACCTGCCCCGAAGACCCCCTGGAGAGCAGATGTGGCCATGGGCCCGCAGATGATGCTTAGTCTTCAGAAACTGCAGGCCTTTCAGGGTAGGAGCTAATGGGGTGGTGGGGAGGGGGCTTCCTGCAAGAGGGGATAGGGTTGGTCTGTGTGGTATAGTTGTGGTTAGGGACAACTGTGAGACAGCAGTCTAGGGGGCAAGAACAGGATGGAGGCGGTAAGTGGGGACAGGCCTTTGATGGGCCCAGTGTGAGTATAGGACACGGCCTTAACTCTTTCCACGAAGGCTTCCAGGAGGAGGTGCTTGTGAGCCGGGCAGGACGAGGCGGGAGGGTGGGGGGCGGGGGTTGGCGGGGAAAGGGTCCTAGCTCCCTTTGGGAGAAGTTGACCCGAGGTTTTGCCTCCTGCTCCAGCCCTCCCCCCTCCTGCACAGAGCCCTGCCTGCCCGGCCAGTGGGTTTATCCCGGGGCTAATCCGACAGAGGTGGGTCTCAAATCACTCGTGAGACTGGGCACCTGGGTGGGGGCGGGGGAGAGGCGGGAAAAAGAAGGAGTGAGTGGCCGAGGGAGGGGTCTGGGGAGGGGGCCCCAGCGTGGCATCGACTGGTGCCACTCAGCCTGTGCTGTGTCTGCTGCAGTCCTCCCAGAAAAAGAGCTGCGTGGAAGAGCCTGAACCTGAGCCCGAAGCCACAGAGGGCGACAGTGATAAGAAGGGGCATGCAGAGGGCAGCAGCGACGAGGAAGGGAAGCTGGTCATCGACGAGCCAGCCAAGGAGAAGAACGAGAAGGGAGCACTGAAGAGGAGAGCAGGGGACCTGCTGGAGGTAACTGCTACCTGCCCAGGGCCTGGGTCGCCCTCAGCATTCCCCATGGGGCATCCCACAGGAGCAGGGCTCTGCCTCGGGGGTGCCCAGTCTCAGAGGTAGATCCAGCCTTCAGTCTTGGGGAGTCCCCAGCTGACAAAATGGGACACAGAAGGCATTTCAGCTAGAAGGACTGTGGGTGTCAGCTTGGGAAGGAGCCCCAGAGAAGCGGAGTGGGCGGCTGGTGGCCTCCCTCTCCAGCCTCAGCCCTCCTCTGTTGATCCTGCCTAGGACTCTCCTAAACGTCCCAAGGAGGCAGAAAACCCTGAAGGGGAGGAGAAGGAGGCAGCCACCTTGGAGGGTGAGAGGCCCCTTCCTGTGGAGGTGGAAAAAAATAGCACCCCCTCTGAGCCCAGCTCTGGCCAGGGGCCTCCCCAAGAGGAAGAAGAAGAAGAGGAAGAAGAGGAAGAGGCTGCCAAGGAAGATGCTGAGGCCCCAGGCGTCAGAGATCATGAAAGGTGAGTGAGCCCCCTGACCCTTGGCAGCTGGACTGGGGGTGCCTGGCCACTTGGAGAAAAAGGGCCCACAGTGGTCAGCCTCGAGGGAGGCGGGGTGGGCGCTCCTGGGCACTGGCTGGGGCAAGGCCGCATCACTAACCCTTCTCCCCTCCAACCCCCCCTCACAGCCTGTAGCCACCAATGTTTCAAGAGGAGCCCCCACCCTGTTCCTGCTGCTGTCTGGGTGCTACTGGGGAAACTGGCCATGGCCTGCAAACTGGGAACCCCCTTTTCCACCCCAGCCTGCTCTCCTCTTCCACTTACTTTTCCCACTCCAAGCCCAGCCCATGGAGATTGACCTGGACGGAGCAGGCCACCTGGCCCTCAACTCTAGGTCCCCCTACTCCTGTGATCTGAGTCAGAGCTGTCTTCTGCTCCCTGGGATGAGATGAGGCCACTGTGTTCCTTCCGCGTGGAGCTATTTTCCAGGCTTTTGCTGGGGCCTGGGCCAACCGCTCCCACCTCCTGACAACCTTCTTCCACTGTCCTGGGCATTCTGGACCTCCGGGTTGGGATCAGGGGTAGGAATGGAAAAGATGGAGCATAAACAGCAGGGTGGGCTTGTGGGGCCTGGGAGGGGCAATCCTCAAATGGGGGTGGGGGCAGCACTGGAGCGTGACATCTTCCTGAGCTC